GCACTCTGCAATGACTCTGCGGTTCTGGTCCAGTGACCTTAAGGCCTGCCCAGCCCTAGTCTCTTAAGTCCTGCTGCTTCCACCCACTGAACCTTCTGCTCCCAGATCTGACTCAGACCCACATCTGCACAGATCTCCACCCAGGGGAAATGAGATTTACCTCAAAGGCCTGGGTTAAACCACAGGCAGAGGTCGACACCCACAATCCATGTCCACTCAGCCAGTCTTGACCTGGGGTGTGAACACCACCTGCCCACAGGCTTCTGACCCCACCTCCCTCAGCCAGTTCCTGCTGGGCACACCCTCCCCATGTTAGCCCCCTTCTACAGGCACACATGCACAGGCACACACACACACAAGGGGAGGGGCATAGGGCTTCTCAGGTGGAATGGGAGAGGTGGCCTGGCCCAAACAAAACAGTTCTGGGCCATTCTGTGTTACCTCTGGGTCCCGCTGTGAAAATGCCTACAAGTGTCCAGGATGATTTCAGACCCAGTAGCAGCCACAGAGAAATATTACCACCACTGCCTCTTTTGGGGCCAAGGCCTCTGGATTCAGACAGACAACGTGAAAACATCCTGTCAGGTGTCAAAGTCTCCAGCCAATTGAGCCGGGTAGGGACAGGTTTAGAATGTGGCTGCCTGGTTACGAGGGTTCCAAGTTCTGTTGGGCTCTATTGTCAGGAAGTGAGGTCATTGCTCAGTTTAGCTCAGTGTATTGAGGTTACTGCCTGGGTCACTACCCCAAGCTTCTCCTTAGACAAGAGCAGTGACTTCAATTTTTTGCACAGTATTTTGTAGTATATTTTTTCCATTATGTTTATTCCCCCAAACTACCCCCACCCACAGTCACTATGCTGTTGTCCACGTCTATGAGTTATTTTTCCTCTTTGCTCAATTCCTCCATCTCCTAACTCAGTGAGTGCTCTTCAGCCTTTTTTGCACCAGGGAATGGATTTGTGGAAGACAATTTCCCAGGCACCCAGTGAAGGATGTGGGGAGAGACAGGAGGTGGAGCTCTACTTCCATTGCTGGCTGCTGGCTACTGCCTGCCCTCACTTGCTGCTGCATGGCCCAGTTCCTAACAGGCCACAGACTGGTAACAGTCCACAGCCTGTGAGTTGAGGACCCCTGCCCTATAGTAGCAAGTTTCCACCAGCATGCTGCAAGAATTTTTAAAATATGCAATACCTGACTAGTCAGGGCCACTGATGTCTTTTCCTTTAAATTGTCAAATTAAAAAATGACAACTACCAACACAGTAATATCTGTCTGGTGTGAGTGAATCAAAATTATATCTATTTTTTGTCAGATTGGAAAAACATATTTTTTGGTGTACCACAGAATTTTAGTAATTGGTTTATGTATGCCATGAGATTAAAAATTACTGCTCTATAGTAATTAGATGGTGGGTGTTTCTATTGTTTTTTAAATTTTTTACAGTTTTAAATTCTTTTGAAAAGTATAGCTGCTCTTTGTGAAAACAATTTCTTTTGTCCAAAACTGATGATATACATTGTTTTATCATTACTGAATTTTAAGATATCGATACAAAATACATATCTCATTCTTTGATACCATCTATAGAGCTAGTTAATTATCTTTTATTTTGCCTTTTCTTATAAAATTCCAAACTTCAATGGCATAGGCAAACATTAACTGTATATTTAGTTCTTAAACCTTCTGCCTGACTTCATAGGTATCTCTCAGATTTTTGTTGATGTAATCCCCATGTGTTCCATTGTCTCTCACCTTTGCATTTAATCTTCTTTTTACCACAACAGTGGGAAGACTGCAAATATATTTTACAACATCCCTCCCCAGCTGGCATCCAATGGGAGGTAGGAAATGGAAACCCATATTCAAGGATAAGCCGTTTTCGTGGTTTCTGCTCGCATTTGGCAGCAGCAACAGCATCAAGTGCAGCAGCAGCAGCAGCAGCAGCAGCAGCAGGGCAGTGACGGTAGTGGTCACAATGGTAACATGAGCAGTTCTGGAAAGAACACAGAAGCAAGGGTGGCTGGTGACTGGTGGGTCCTGAGTCACTGTTCAAGCAGCAGTGCCCCAGCAGAAGCAGCTCAGAGGTAAAGTGTTCATGGACCCTGGGTGAAATCATTTCCCTTTTGTTGTCCAGTTCCAGGTGTGATCATATTGGAGTATAATTGCCAATCTTTGGATCAGCTAACCGTTCTTGTTTTGCTCCTCTAGCCCATTTGAATACTTTGTAACAGATTCCTTGTATCTGACTCCCTCTCTGTGGGGAACACCCAGATTTATTTCTACTTCTCTGATTGGTCAGGGTCTAATGCACACTGTTATAAATCAGCATCTGTACATAACAGTCAGCATATGTGGTATGCTCCAGAAGGCAAAACATTTGAGGACGACTCAGTTGACAATGTTAACTCTGCATTCAACTTTTCTTTGTCTCTCAGTAAGGACTCACCAAACTCTCAGATCCAGAGAGTTTTTGTGGTGTTCACTAGCACTTATAAACTCTTGTTTGTGCTGTGTTTATTGCCCAGAATATTTGCATTTAAATAACTGAAAAATGCCAATGTTTATGTCTGTTGACTCCTTTCTTTCTTCTTTAAGGTATATAATTCATAACCCTTATCTACCTGTGTTTTCCTTCCTCTAAGCCTTCCAATAACTTTTAATTTATGGTTTTCTTTTGACTTTTTTTTTCTATTTTCTCTAAAAACTTTTCATCTTTGCAGATAAAGTTGGCATTCAGAAAGAGATTGCTCAAGAAAGAAAGGAAGTCTCTCGTAACAATGCTTGCCCAGAGGAAGGAATAAGATTGTTCTCATGAACCAGGTTAAAATGTGAGACATACGCTGATGACATCAGTGTGGCAAGAACCTTGTGTCATAGGTTCATTATCATCGTATATAACCCCTGTCCAAGATTAAATATGGAAAATATCATACTACTCTAAAACTAAGAAAGGAACATTATCTTGAACTATGTAACAATCCCATCGGTTACCACAGTCAAATTGATGCCTGCACCTCTATATTTAGCTTCCTTCATCATTCTGAGCAACGGGGATGGGGGCTACCGACTCCAAGCCTGGGAACTATTCATGTAAGGCCTGTGGTTCCAAAGGATTACTTGACCTTTAACATTCACCATCTCCATTTCCATGTACTTTTCTCTCCTATGTCCATATATAACACAGATATGATAAATTTAGAAGTTGACACTTGATTAGACACAATCTGGAAGAAAAAAAAAAGATTAAACTATGCAGTTGAATGTAGCCCAGATGCAGGAGAAGGCATGAGGCCAAATTCTTCCGGCTCTTTGTTTAATCACATGATGTTGCTTGGATATCAGCTTATCAACAGAAAGAGACCTTGCAAAAAATTCTTGGAATATGAATGGGTGCTTTTAAAAAGGAAGAGACTGCAACATAGGGTAAGTTTCTTTTAAGCAAACATGACTTTTTGTTTCAGATATAAGTTATTTTGTGAATTTTTCATCCTGAATTATCTACCCAAGCATTTTAATCAAACTGTGTCAGGTACAGACCACTTGAATAGGTAAGGTGGATTTTCTCAGCACATATAAATTGTTGTCACAAGAAATATCATCAGTCATTTCTTATGCTACTTTAGGGAAGAAGAAATCTTTCCAGCTTTGAAAAATATTTATGCTCTGCTCTACAGATCTGGAAAATGGGAGAAGGGATATTGAGATGATTTGAGTACAGGATAGAGTTTGGCTTCTATCACAGGGAATACTAAAAGAGTACGTCTTGGTGTGGTTTCTGGGTTGCATGGCAAAGGAAAACATTAAATATTTATAGTTTACTTTATAAGTTCATATTATGGGAACAGGATACATGGAGATGTTGACTGATGTTTTCCTAACACATTTCTCTTTTGGAACATCTGAGCCTGAGTTCTGTGAACTCAGAACCAGAGTTTTCTCACACGTTAAAGTGTTTCTTACGCATGCTTTTGTTGTGCACTTGTACATGTACGTGTGCATGAACATACAGCAGAGGAGAGGAGAAATAGAAGGAGCATAAAGAGAGTGTTCTGTGTTCGTGATCTCAGTTAATTAAACAACCTGATAAGATAGGCATTGTTACCAAGAGCAAAGTTGTGAACAGGGGGGGAAATTCTTGGGGTTCCCATTCTGTGTCTCTCAACCTTATTCCAATATGTCTATCCTTCTTTGATTGTTAATTTTTTAAATTATTATATACATCTCAGATTCTAAATCCTAAATTACATGGAGAGAAGACTTACTCAGAAGCAGGTGTGACTTTGTTTTGTATCTTTGTTGGGCAAGTGGCAAAAATGTGACTAGATTTACTAGTTGCTTTTTTAGTATAGAGCTATAAAATTGCAAATCTAAAATTGCAAGAAATGGAGAATTAAGTAAAAGTATACTATAGTGTCACTAAAAGTCATATTTTAAAGGATATTTAATAAGTTGGAAAAAGTACCCAACACATAAACTATGACTGACCTTCTCTAAAATCACACACAATGTACACAGAAAACTTAATAAAAAGAAATCAATCAAATGCTCACAATAGTAATGGAAAGTTAAGTTATGGTTGGTGTTGTATTATTTTATTTAATTTTTCATTTTTTAAATTTTTCATAATGACACCAATTAATTTTAGAATCAGAGAAGATACTAAATATTGTTTAAAATTATCAAGTAGCAACTGTTGTGGAATTGTATGGCTCTACAACCCATGTCCTCCAAGCCCAGTGTACAGCAGAGACACACAGGGCTCTGAATTACTCCTCCTATAAAAAATGATGAGAACAGGGGAAAGCACAGAACTAAGTGATCTGGTGAAATCCATTTACTAGGAAACGTGTGAGAAAATTTCTTATCCCTTAAAGCAAATAACATTTATTTACTTGTTTATTTACTTGCTTACTTATTTACTTAGGTACATTCCCAAAATTTGTTGAACAAAATACAATTTTATGCTATGCTTTGTTGTTCCTTGGAGGTACAGGATAAAGAATGGGAGAAAAACAGAAAAGACAACAAAAACTTCAGACTATTCCACAGATTCCTTGCATTCGAGTCCCTCCCTCTGCTGACATGTCATTACTGAAGGTACAACATATTATTCACAGATGAAAAGGCCCTGTCTGTGTCTCCTTCAAGGCTTGAGGAATTTTCATGTCTTTGTTTACCCAGAAGTAGCAAGAACAATGGGCCCAGTGTAGGCCCTCCCGGTGTGCTGGAAGTGTGTGGGAGAGTGAATGAGTGTGGATTACCCACACCAGTGATGGGACCAGTGATGGGACACTGACTGACCACACTCTGGTTCCCTGCTACAAAGCTGTTAGCTCCTTTCAGTCAAAATTAGTTCAAGTCATTCTCATAAATACTCTGTCAAAATTTCAGTTCTCTGCCATCCCCTGAAGGAGGAATGAGCAACTAAATAAGAGTATTAGAAATGTTACTGTTACTTCTTATTTTGGAATTTGACAGTTATACTAAGAAAAAGAAGTAGGCTTTTTGTTCTTATTCAGCAAAACTATAACTTTTACAGTTTTATGTAATATAATGGAAACTCCCATTGCATTTTTGAGCTCTGCTCTTGAAATTGGCTTGGAATTTTCACATTATATTTTTCTCAGTCATTTGAAAAGAGTTAATTAGTAATTCATTTCCTTCAAATATATTATCTTTTAAAAGATGTAATTCAGAAACTGTAAAGCTGAAATGATGTCTCAAATTTTGAAGTACTTGGCTTTGCTTTCACCCTGTATATATTTTTTGAGTTTAAGATCTCTAGACTTCAAAAAAAAAAAAAAAACTGGCTCACATATTTCAACTCCAAACAAAATTTCTAACAAAGTCATTTTTATAAATAATTACTTTAAGTTTAGATTTATTACATAGGAAGAAATAGAAATAGAAGTCACAGTTAAAGAAGTGAGCTCACTGGGAAGTCAGAGAAAAAGGGGTCCTCAGAGACAGGTTCAGGGAGTAAGCCAGGATGAGCTGCTACTGCCCATTTCTTCCCTGGTTGCAAGTTTCCTGGGATCCCTTAGAGTTTGGGAGATGCAAGCCTGTAGGGGAAGAAGTGGGGGTAAGGGAAAGGTGATGGGTCCTCCAGGGAGGGAAAATGTGAAGTGGATTGGTTGTCTTGAGGCTTTTTATCTTTCTTTGGAAACAATTGGAATTTTAGGGGAGATCTCAGGGGAGGCTCTTAGAATATTCATTAGCTTTCCAGGTGTGTCCTTCAACTTGTTCATCAAAATGTGTGTATAGAGGGGCCAGGGTTATTTTTCTGGTTAGTTTTATTTTTAAAGAACATAATTAAGGAAGGACTGGGACTAAGACTGTTCTGCCCTGGGACAGTCTGGAGTGTATAGATCATTTGCTCCTTACTATCCTTGGTTAGGAAAGATAAAACCTTGTGATTCATTAGCTGGCTGTAAATTGCTCAAATTGTTAGGCCTTGTTTATTATTTTGTCTCATTTTCCCTTATTCCACTTATCAAGGAACCCTAGCTTCTCACTGTCTTGCCTCACCTTCACCTTCTTTTATCCAGTCCCTACCTCCCTTTTCCCCTCTGACAGCTGTCAGTCTGTTCCATGAGTCCATGCCTCTGTTTCTATTTTGTTAGTTTACATTTTTCATTAGATTCCACATACAAGTGAGATCATATGGTATTTGTCCCTGACTGGAAGCCCAAGCCCTTTCTGCTTCTCCCTAGCATAGATGACAGCCCTCCAAATCATCTCCACACCAGTGGCTCATCTTCCTGTGAGCTCCTTCTCCGTGATCTTTCCAAGATGCAAATTTGGTCAGCTTAAATGTGTAACATTTTGGGCTGGATAATTCTTTGTTGTAAGAACTGGATGCTGTCTCATGCACTGTAGGATGTTCAGCAGCATCACTGGCCTCTGTCGACCAAATACCAGTAGCATCCCTTCTCCCTCTCACCATTTGTGACAACTAAAGATTTCCCCAGACATTCCCAAATGTCTCTTGAGGGTCAAAATCACACTGTTAAGAAGCACTGCCTTAAATAAAGACCATCAATGGTTCCTTATAAAAAAGGGTAATCTTTAAATTCTTAACAAGGCATGAAAAGTTTTCCATGACCTTCCCCTGTCTAATGCTGCAGCCTTTTTCAACTCAGACTCCACTTTCTGGTTAAAGTAAAAAAAAAAGTCTGCTTCCCAATATATCTAAATATGTTGTGCCTATAAAAGAAATTGTACTACTTTCTACCTTCTTTGTCTTGTGCTCCCCTGGTTCTCCAGTTCTAGCATACATGCATCATGATCACCTAGAGGACTTGTTAAAGCTCAGAGTGCTGGACCCAACCCAGAGTTTCTGACTCTTTAGGCCTGAGAATGTGCATTTCAAACAAGTACCAGGTGATGTTGATGCCTTTTAAAACCAGGATTCTAACCCCTTAAGGACTTCTTATTCACCCTTAAGTCTACACGTGTTGATCATCTCATTTAGGGAGTTTCCTTGACTGTGCAGGCAGAGTTTATTTTCCTTCTGTTGAACCTCTACCACATTGTGAGTCTGTTCATCTACCTATACTCCCTGCTTACTGACAACTTTCAGTGGAAAGTTCTCTTTTACCCGTGTAGAGGCCTGGCATACTTCCAGACCTGGGTAGATTCTCACAACCTGCCTTTCTCAACAAGGACTATAATAGATCAATAAAAACTGAAAAATCCTTGGATCTCCGTCCACCCAAAACTTTGACCTACTTACCTAGAATCTTAGACACTTCACCTTTATACAGGCCAGTGAAAGATTTTTTAAGTAAACTAAGGAACAACTACCCAATTGTTGTTTTCTAATTGATATATATATGTGTGTATATATATATAGTGTATATATTATATATAGTGTATATATTATATATAGAGAGAGAGCAAGAAAGAAAGGGGAGAGAGAAGCATCTTACTTCAGAGGAAGTCAACTTTGAATACATGACACTCTTAATTCTGTAAACTCCACCAATTCATCAATGTCACCTGCTGTGCTCTGACAGGACCTAACCTGTGGGCAGCAGCGCTACTTTTACAGCATCATGAGGATTTACAACTCCAGGCCCCAGTGGGAGGCCCTGCAGACCCGATATATTCACAGCCTTCGGCACCAGCAACTGCTTGGTAAGTTTAACTACCTGACCTGGACCAAGCACCTCAAGAAAGGACTTGTGCACTGCAGCCAGAAGTCAAGTTTCCTGATACAAATTTGAGTAGAATGGCCTCTGCCAACAAGCTGTTTTATCAATGTGGTCAGCAGGCCAAGTTTAAAAATCATTATCCCTGACAAAAGAAAGGAAGGTTTTATGGGTAAATTAAGAGGGTTTAAAGAAATTGGAGGGTGGATTGTTGTAAAATATCAACAACTCTGAGATTTACAGGAACTTGATGTAGTAGAAACAGCCATGGCCTCAAGCAGCTGGCCTAAGCTAAAAAACACAGCTCAGCCAGCCCCTTGCTGATTGCGTAAACTCAGAGACGTAGTTTACTCACAAAAGGAATATTTGTATTGCTGAGCATTTACCATGTTCCAGACATTGTTCTTGGAGTTCTATGCTTGCTCTCTCATTTCTCCCCATGTTACAATTGTGGGAAATTTTGGTCAGGCAGGTATATAACCTGATCAAGCTCACACAGATAGTAAATGTCAGTTAGGACCATCACCTGAAAAGATTGTGCACTCTCTTTCCCATGCCCCACTGTTTCTCTTCTCCTATGAACCTCATGGGATTTTATGAAGCATAAATGAAATAATGGTTCTGAAAGACCTTCATAGATCATAAGTAACAACCTACAGAAAGATATAATTGTTATTAAATCTTTTTTCTTTCAAAAATGTTTTCAGTCTTCAGCTCCTCTCTATTATACTCTTCTCCTAACTCCCATAGAACTTTATTTACTATCATTTTTTTCTAAACTACTCACTTGGCACTAGCACATCTACTTATATTATTGTTTCTGTATTTGCACAAAAGGAAAACATATTTTCTGCAAGTGATTCAATAACAAAAACAATAACAGTAGTTATCTCTTATTAGGTCTTCCTATGTTTCAGCAATTATTCTAAGTACTTTGCTTATATTTGCTTGTATTGTCTTATAAAAACACAAGCATGTCCACGTGGTAGATGCCTTTATAACCCACATTTTACAGAAGAGAAAATTGAGACATGGTAAGTTAAATAACTTGACTAGGATCATATAACTAGTAAATAGCAGAGCAAGGATTCAGCTGTTCCCAATGATTGAAATGTTGCAGAAACATCACCTGGTAGCTTTGTTTGCAGAATAAAATTGCTTAGAAGCCAATGAACCTAGAAGCAGAATATTCAATGTTTAGTGCACATAAAATCCAACTGTGTATGTTATTAAAATGCAGATTTCCAGGCCTAACTTTTTGAATTTATGATTCAAAGATATCTGGAGTGGAACCAGAAATCTTCATTTTTAAAAAGCATCATGAAAAGTGGTCTTAGCCAGACAACTGTGTAAGTGATCTGCAGACTGTACTGTAGTAACACATAAAGGCTGAATATATCTGCTTCTGGTCGGAAGAAAGTTTTAATACTGATCAACAATTCAGATGAAGGTTTTTCATGGCTCAAGCCCCTCTCCAAATGATCTGTCATGATAATCAATAGCTATGTATTAATTTACTGAATGAGTAATGCAAAAGAAGAAATATACTTCCTGTCTTCAAAAATCATAAAAATCTGGGTGTGCTAAACACAAGTAGAAGAAATTTTGTGAATCTGAATATTTGCAGTGATTTTTGCTTATTTGTTTTGTAAAACCATTAACCTTAAAGTCTCTCTTATTTCTTTCCCCTAGGTTATATTACTCAGCAGGAGGCCTTGGCTTATATGCTGTACTTAGGAGATTCAACCAACAAAGCCTCAGCCAAGGAAGCTCCGCAAAGAGCCATCCCCTGGAAGGCTTCAGCCATGACAAGAACATGGCTACCAGCAGTCCCTGTGTCTGTGGTCTGACCCAGAGCCAAAAGTGCAAGGCTCTGATCCCTCAGGAGCCAAGACTTGGCACAAGGTCTAAAACAGGCAGTATGCTCATGGACTTCTGGCATCTAGTGAGTACTGAGTGTATATTTGTAAATGAGCATAAATAAATCTTCTAATACAAACCCACAAGTAAAAATAATCTTTTTCCCGTGCAAAACCCAGCAAAAACACATTGCATTTTACCAGGAAAAACACATTGAGAAGTCCTTTTACTTGACATACCTATAGACTAAAATGACTTTTGAAGCATTCAAAGTAAAAGTTTCCTTTGAATTAAAACCTCCTAGGGAAGTCCCAAAAACAGTGAAAAGGGAGAAGTTATTAGAGGGTGCCAGGTTCTCTATCACTGGGTGATTATCCCTGAAAAGCTGCCCATTGCACATATTAAAAATACCCTAAACAACACAGATTTAACACTGAGCATGCAGGGTTCCTGGAGCCATATCTTCTCAGCCACACCTGGACTATACATTTCCATGTCTCCCTTCCTCTCTTCTTTCCCATCAAGCAATAGAAGTCAATTTGGCCCCACATCTTGTTCTTATCTGACTCAACAATTCTTTTGTGTAATCTTGAAACTTGGAATTATCAACCCACAATAGCTGAGTTCAGTCTACATTCTGTAATTAACCTTCACATGGGTAAGAGAATTCATGCAAATATCCTATGCCCCTGGTAAATGAAGGTACACTCTCAGCAGAACAAGAAATAGCCCCTGAAAACTAATTACAAGTCTAATCTTTCAGTGGCCTCAATGGTTTTAAGTAAAGCACATAAGACTATGCAAACAAGCAAAAAATGTGATAAAAGCTGATTCTTTGAAAAGATAAACCAGATTCATCAAGAAAAAAAAGAGAGAAGACCTAAATAAATAAAATCAGAAATAAAAGAGAAGTGACAACCAACACCACAGAAATGCAAAGGATTGTAAGAAAACATTATGAACATCAATATCTCAAAAAACTGGACAATATGGGTAAAATGGATAAATTTCTAAAATCATAAACCTTCCAAAATTGAATTTAAAAAATCAGAAAATCTTATTAGATTGATTACAACTAATTAAATTGAAGCACTAATAATAATAATAACATTAAAAGACTACCAACAAACAAAAATCCTGGATCAGATGGCTTCTCAGGTTAATTTCACCAAACATTCAAAGAAGAGCTGACATATATCCTTCTCAAACTATTTCAAAAAAATTCAAGAGGAGGGAAGACTCCCAAGCTCATTTTATGAGGCCAGTATATCCTAATTCAACACCAGATAAAGACACTACAAAGAAAGAAAATTATAGTCCAATATTACTGATGAATATAGATGCTAAAATTCTCAACAACATATTAGCAAACTGGACCCAGCAATACATTAAAAAGATCATACACTATGATCAAGCAGGATTTACTTCAGGCATACAAGACTGGTACAATATCTGCAAACCAATAAATGTTATACACCACCTTAAAAAAAGAAAAAAAAATCACATGATATTAATAATGAACAAAAAGCATTTGATAAAATTCAGCCCCATTTAAAGTGAAATAAAGGGAGCACATCTCAACATAATAAAGGCCATATATGACAAATCCACAGACAACATCATTCTTAACACACAGAAATAAAAGCATTTCTTATTCAACATAGTACTGGAAACCAAGCAAGAAGTAAAGGCATCTAAATTGGGAAGGAAGAAGCAAAATTGCCATTATTTACAGGTGACATGATACTGTATATATAAAACCCTAAAGATTCTAGCAAAAACTACTAGAACTGATAAATGAATTCAATAAACTAGCAAGATACCAACTAGATATCCAAAATCAGTTGTGTTTTAATATACCAATAATACATTATCAGAAAAAAAACTAAGAAAATAATTCCATTTAAAATTGCATCATAAAACAATACCTTGGCATAAATTTAACCAAGAATGTAAAAGACCTATACTCAGAAAATTATAAGACACTGAAGAAATAAATAAATTGAAAAGAGATACTAATATGTAAAGGCATATATTGTGCTCATGGATAGGAAAAAACTAATATCATTAAAATGCCCATATTACCCAAAGCAATCTATAGATTCAATACAATTCCTAAATATTCAAAATATTTATATGAAACCACAAAAGACTCAATAGCCACAGCAAACTTGAGAGAGGAAAACAAATTTAGAGGAATCACACTACCTGATATTGGAGAATACTACAATGTCATGATATCCAAACAGCATGGTACTGGCATAAAAACAGACATATAGGTCAGTTGAACAATACAGAGAATCTGGAAATAAACCCATGTCTTTATGGTCAATTAATATTTGACAAAGAAGTCAAGAACATACAATGGATAAAGACAGTCTATTCAATAAATGATGTAGGGAAAACTAAACAGATACATGCAAAAAGATAAACTAGATTACCTTCTTACACTATAAACAAGAATAAAGTAAAAATAGATTAAAGGCTTAAATGTATGTCTTGGAACCATAAAAATCTTAGACAAAAATGTAGGCAGTAAAATTTTGGACATTTCTCATAACAATATGTTTTTGCATATATCTCTTTGTGTAAGGGAAACAAAAGAAACATAAAGAAATAGGACTGTATCAAACTGAAAAGTTTTTGTACAGCAAAGGAAACCATCAACAAATGGAAAGACAACCCACTGAATGAAAAAATATATTCACCAATGATACATCTGATAGGAGATGAATATTCAAAATTTATTTTAAGAAATTATAAATCTCAACATCAAAAACCCAAACAATCCAAATAAAAGATGAGCAAAGAATTCTCCAAAGAGGACATACATCTATGGCCAACAGACATATGAAAAGATGCTCAATGTCACTAATCATCAGAGAAATGCAAATCAAAGCCACAATTAGATATCACCTCACAACTGTGAGAATGGCTATCATCACTAAAACATCAAACAATGAGTGTTTTGAGAAGATGTGGAGAAAGGGAATCCTATTGGTAGGAACACAGGTTGGTCCAGCCACTGTGGAAAGCAGTGTGGAATTTCCTCAAAAAATTAAAAGTGGAACTTTCTTATGACACACTGATTCCACTTTCAGAAATATATTCAAAGAAACCCAAAACACCAATGTTCATTGCAGTGTTCATTGCAGTGTTATTTATGATAACCAAGATTTGGAAGCAGCCCAAATGCCCATCAACAGATGAGTGGATAAAAAATGGTGGTACATTTACACAATGGAATACTAGTTGGCAATGGAAAAGAAGGAAATCTTACCTTTCATGACAGCATGGATGGACCTGGAGGTTGTTATGTTAAGTGAAATAAACCAGTCAGAAAGACAACTACCATATGATTTTATGTACACGTGGAATCTAATGAACAAAGTAAACAAACAAAATAGAGTCACAGATACAGAGAACAGACTGACAGCTGTTAGAAGAGAGGGAGGTTGGGCACTTGGGTGAAAACTGTGGAGATTAATCAAAAAACAAACAAACTCATAGACAGACAACAGTGAGGTGATTATGAGAGAGAAAGAGGGGTGGTGGGAGGTAGAAGAGGGTAAAGGGGGCATAAATGTTGATGGAAGGAGAATTGACTTAGGGTGTAAATGCACAATACAATATACAGATGATATATTTTAGAATGTACACTTGAAACCTATGTAATTTTATTAACCAATATCACTCCAATAAATTCAATAAATTTTATTAAAAGAATGAAATTTTAGAACTGAAAAATGAGAGGTCAAATCATCATATCAAAATTATAGTATTATATTGTAATTAATAGTTATTTTCAACACTAGCAATTTTGTGTATTAAAATTAGTCATCAGTGTTCACATAAAGTAAAAATAAAAATGCCTTTTCTTTATCTTTCTAAATGTTCAGCCCCCTTTTTCATTCAAATCAGCCAATGATTTTGTCATGCCCATGAAAGCAGTTGGTTTAGGTGGAATATAAACTTACTTAAAAAGGGGTGTGGAAACATTGATCTGAAAGGAAGATGCTGCAATATTAGCAGAAAAAATAAAAAAGCAAAAAACAAAAAACCTCACTGGTGATTATTATCATCTCTCTGCAACCATTAATGTAGAAGATACAAAGGTTATCATAACATTCTGAAAACTCTCAATACTGATTCTGAGATTCTATCTGACTTTTCTTTGGGAGAAACAAGAGGCATGGTTGGCCCACTTCAAGTCCAAGAGGAAGACTTGGGAAAGCCAATGCTGACCCTTCACTAAGTCATAGAGACACTTCTTGACCCTTGCCTATGCTGGCCCTGACTCAGGTACTCTAAGTAGCTTTACACTTATAAGGCAAGAATCATTAGATAGACTTAAAAATATATATATCAAAAGGCACTGGAGTGAGCTATAGGGCAGCCCTCCTGAGAGACAGAGGTTTGTGGCATACTTAAATTGGTATACAATTCTTTCCATTGTTTCCATGATGGGCCTTAGGTTTGTGGCATACCTAAATTGGTATACAATTCTTTCCATTGTTTCCATGATGGGCCTTTTATCACTTTAAGTTTCTTACATGCAGTTTCATTTTAGACTTTTTTTCTGATGTGCACAGATATTTATTGTATAAGCCCTAGCTAGTGATGCAGAATATCAAGGATGCCTCTTATAATTCTGAGTTGCATCCCAGCATCCCAAATATCAGGGGCATCTACTTTCTGATAGAGGAGTTAAAAGCTAATTGACAAGTGAATGTTATAGGCCCATAGAACAACAAATAGATCTAAGTTTGTACAGAAGATCCTATTTGTTGACTCTCCCTTCAGAAAAGATAACACCCTTCCTCTGAAACCCCAGCACAAAGTTTATGAAGAACATGATCAATTATGGTGTCAGAAAAAAGATGCTTAGATGGGAAAACACTGTGAAAGATGATCAAAGGAGAATCAAGGACAACCTGTAACTTTTAGGAAAGTCTACTACTTTGACTTATTGGAAACTATATAGCTTGCT